GGATGGATGGATGGATGGATGGATGGATGGATGGATAGATGGATGGATGGACGGACAGACAGACAGGCAGACAGACAGACAGATGAAAGCAAAAGAGAAGTTTTAATTTAGTTAAATAATTAGATCTATTTTTTTCCTCCTAATTAATATACTTTTGTACTCACTTTTATGTTGTATCAAACTATCATAAAACACAGAGAAGTGCAAAAATGAAACGATATCTACTTTGTGCTGTTTTATTAAGTACGAATCAGGATGATTCATATTACAAAGTGAGCAAAATAATTATTACTATTTCTTCAACATTAGGGTTTTTAACTAGTTAGTTTTCCTGGCCCATTGGTTTTTCACTAACTGTCAGAATAGCTAATGTGACAGCTGAAACAATATCATGGCTGTTTCACCTACCTACCCATCTAACAACAACAAAACAAAACAAAAACTCTTAAGTCATATACAAGAGGACCTTCAGGACTAAATGAGTTATCAGCTGGTGGATAATGCTGATTCTCTTTCTCTGGAGGTCTACAAACAGATGATCTAGTGAATCCTGTATTTACTGAGGGATGGACTGGATAACTGAAGTAATTTCCACCTTTACATTCTGCAATGACAAATTTCTATGCATTCTTCATTCCTCAATTTTTTTTTGCAGATTTAAAATATTTCACTAAATTGTTGCTAGAAAGGCTTTCCCAAACCTACATTATAGAGGCCACAAATGGTCTTAAATTGTACAATTACATCAAAAAAATGGCTGAACCTTGCTATGTATATAAACTAAGGAAGAAATGAAGAGGAAGAAATGAAGCCACACGCAGTCACAGGGGCAAATGTCTAAGCTACTGGACTTTGGCCTAAAATTAGGCAATACCCCTGATCCTTCAAAACAAGCTGGGGGAAAAAAAACCTGAATTAGAAAAATCCATCTCTTATCACAAAATCTATTTAAAAAGATGAATGGTCCTGATGGAAAATGTCTATCAACATCAGAGAAACTTGAAGAATGTGTTTCTTTTAGCATTTATCATTGAGAAAAACTGGTCACAAAAGATTGGAGAAAGAATATCGATGATCTCCAATGTCTTGTTTGTCTAAATAATTTATAGACATAAAAGCTAACTTAGAAAATTGTTATCTTGCAGGTTGGCTTCTGGGGATAGTTGCGAGGAAGAAGAAATTTATCCATGATTTCTTTTACACCATTTCACTCTTAATATCTGTCATTCTGAACTTCACTCATTTACACTATGGTTTTGGTAAAGTGGGAAGAAATTCAGAAATATCATTTTTAATTTCATGAAAGGGAGTGACATAGGCCTTGTGGATCGGAGTTTGGATTTTGTTTTTGTTTTTTGAGGGGTTTTCTTCTTTTCAGGTCACTGAAACACTAAGATAGGAAGGGATTCGTTTTGAACTTGTCTTGTTTTTTCATTTAAATAATTCAGTTTTGGGGTGATGCC